AACACCAAGAGAACACCTATTTTATTTCCAGATCAAACCCCCACTCTAAATACAGTATCCTCTCCCTTTTGTACCTGAAGTCTACTTACCTGGCACATCAGGGACAGTAATCTCATTGTAAGCTCAAGGTATGGGTTTACAAGCATGTGATTCCAGGGATGTTTTGGAGATGTTTGCATAGTACGTGTTGCTGACCTGGTTTATGTGTTTAGTACATGTTTGGGAAGTAGTGAAAGTCTTTACTATGACACAGTCGTTAATACCTCAGACAGAACTCCTGGTGACCAGCAAGTGTATGTAAGCCAATATACTGTCCAGTTCACATAAAAAGCCCTATACACATCAGCCAATGTGGTCTAATGAAACAGGAATACTTGAATGCCTTAATATTTTTTTTTTATTCCAGAATGGTAACACTAGTTATCTGAATCCCAAATTATATGCCTATCTCTTTATTGATATATTTCTAATTTTTTTTCCTTCCTGCCATTGCTGTCACAAAAATGATAATGTCTCTTGATATGTTCCTGGTGACTGTAGTTACTTGCACTGTGGTGGTGGTTGAAGACAAACAGTCACACAGTTGTGTCTTTATTTGGCTTCTCTTGCCACTGACATGGGGCAGACTTGCTCAGTAGTGACCCTGCTGAACTTTCAAAGTTTTTCTTTCTCATGCTGGTGGCGTAAAATCTTTATTCATAGCTGGAGACAACCTTGAACATCTGTCTTAGTTCTTACAACAATCCCTGCTGAGTCTACAGTGTGTGTCTGACCTTGCTCTTAAAGTCTGGAATATGTATCCTGGAGTTGAGAGAAATGTAATTTTGATATTTCCTTTTTTTTTTCTTTTTTCTTTTTTTTTTTTTTTCCCCCCCCCCCCCCCGTAAAGATAACCTCACTGGTAGCACTTCTTCTAGGATGAAAATTAAAAATAAATTTCTACAATCCACTGTGGGCTGAATCCTAATGCCAGCCAGCACTTAGACAAAATACTCTGTGAAATCAATGGAAATTTTACTTCAGTTCGAGGATTAGCAGTCTTTCAAGCGCAAGGTGAACATAGGGCAAAACTAGGGAGTAATGTACTTTAGATGATTTATAGCTTCACTAAAGCACAGAGATAAAACCTGCAAGAGAAATAGAAAATGAGATGCCCACAAGAAACATGGTTCTTGATAATACTGATGTTAACCTTTAACCTTAAATAACATGTATCTAAAATATTATTAAGTTTAGACATGCTTGTTATCAGGAACAAACACATTGGGAGTATGGAAGCCTCTGTCCTCCTGGGATTTCATGAGTGCTTTGAAAGTCTGCTCATGACAAGCTGTTGGTGGTAGTCACTGTTCTCACTCTCATGGGAGATGAAACCCAAGGTTCTTGGAGATTAATTGCAGCAGGCTCCCAGCCTTTGGGGAGTTTTGGACAGACAGTTTTTTCTGCAGACATCTTCCCCTCCATCTGTCCTAGCATACAGGCTGCATCCATGCTGTGCACCAGGCATGTGGGAAGCCTACCCAGAAACTGCACTCTGTCCTTCATCCAGCATGTCCAGCAAAGTCATTCTTAGCCTGGAGGGGTGTGTCTTTCCACTCTGCCAAGCTACTGGTGTCCTTATTGAGCAGCACAATGTCATAATCGAGGTAGGAGCTTAGCAGAAGCAAATGGAGGGCTAGTTGGACTGGCTCGATTCTTTCATTTAAGGAAAGACTCGTTATCTGTCTTTCTCGAAGATGGACCTCTCGTGGGAGCATTAGAAAGTGCTATTTCATCTTCCCTTCTCTTCTGTCTCTTGAGGAAACTGCTGAGACAAAATGAAACCTCAGTTCATACCATCCTCTGACCCAATGCTAGGTGGAAAGTGAATCTTTTCATTGTAGACTGTATCACAATATCTGTTCCCTCCAGAAGACTGCGGGCTGCAGCAGCATCCCCTGATTAAGGCTTCATGTTAACTAACCCTCCAGGATTTATTTGCTGAGCTCTTGAATAGCATTTTGCACAAGAAGCAGATGTCTGTCACTTGTATTTCATTGGTCTGTGGTGGCTTCCAATTCAGCTTTGGTTTTAGTGCAACAATGGGAAGGTGTTGCTTCAGATCTGGAGTATTCTGGCTGCCTGGGAGATATCATGCTTAACAAGGAAATGTGAGCTAAAATCTTGCAGATGCATCTGGAAGACGAAGGAGACAAGCTGTTTACCATGCAGTTCCCACCCTAGCTTCTGCCATCCAGAGTCAATCTTTTTCCAGAGTTATTTTTTCCATTTTTTTTTTTTTGTTAAACTTTTTTTGTATTGAATTTTTTTCCCTACGCATCTCTATTCCATGCAATTTAAAACACTGGCTGCACTAGCTGTTTGAAAACTGGGTGAAAACTGGTATTCTGGATGTTTTTAAGTCTTGAATTATGACTGAGGCCTTTAAGAAAATAGAAATATTGTGTGTGTTTTGGCATTTCAATGAGTGCTCAACGAGTTATTTCTCTAAGTTTGGTAGGGCAATTGGAATTATTCCTGTTTTAAATGGTGCAGGTTGATCTGTTTCAGGCTGTTTTTGAACTATAGCATGATATTCAAGCCTGGAAAAGCCTATCTGGGACAAGAAAATAGTGCTAAAAAACAGCATTACAGCTGGAAGCAGGAGTAGCAGTGGGGTACAGAGAGAGATGCAACTGATCTTAGTTTTGTACAGAGGAGGGACCAGTACAAAAAGGAAACAAGTGGCTATAAACATAAGGCTGAAATGAAGACATATTTTACATTATCCATGGCATTTTGTATTTATAAAGATATCTATACAAGAGGCTGAAAAGGAAACATTTCAAAAATGTGCTAAGCCTGAGCTTTGATTCAGTCTGTCAGAGAAGCAAAACTCCATTACAGTTCTGCAGAGCCATAGGATATATGAGTATTAAATACAGAAGCAAGGTTGCAAGAAAGAACCTGTGTTCACCTGTGTTGGAGCATTGCTTTATCTTCATTGAATCACAGAATAGCTTGTCTTGGAAGGAACCTTAAAGATCATCTAGTACCAACCCACCTGCCATGGGCAGGGACACCTTTCACTAGATCAGGTTGCTCAAGGCTTTATCCAACCTGGCCTTGAACACTGCCAGGGATGGGGCATTCACAACTTCTCTAGGCAACTTGTTCCAGTGCTTCATCACCCTCATAGGACAGAATTTCTCCTAATGTCCAATCTAAACCTTTTCCACTTTAAAGCCACTCCCCCTTGTCCTATCACTATATGTTCCTGTAAATAGTCTCTCTCCATTTTTCTTGTAGGTTCCCTTCAGGTGCTGGAAGGCTGCAATTAGGTCACCCTGAAGACTTTTCCAGGCTGAACAATCTCAGTTCTCATAGCCTTTCCTTCTTACTTCCACCCATATATTCCTTATCCTGTCACCAGACTGACTGAGGCCTCCGTGCCCTACTTTCTCTTTTTCTGAACTGTCTCTGAAGTTTGAACTTTGTCTTCTCAAAGCCTTTTTCCCTGGGATGAGAGATGGCACTGCTTCAAAGAGCCCTTCTTTCATTCTGCACCTGTGCCTCTTCTTACAGAGCTATTCCCTGAGCATACTAAGGAACATCAGTGAAGAATTAATTTCGTGTTGTCAAGTTTCTAGTCTGACCCTTAATTTAGAGCAGTCATTTCAGTCTACAATAAACTCTGTGTTTCTGCATGCCGCAGTGAAAGAATTACGAGCAGTCCTTAGCCATGTGCATTCAGGATGCTTTGGTAGCCCCATGGGACAGGTAGACTTCAGTGCCTGAAAAGAATGGGGGTACAGTCAGCATGTTATTTTCTGTGTAACAGTGTATACGTGGGTCTGCCTATATGTAAAAGCTTTTACATGATTCACTGAGGCCATTAGGAGTGGAATGGTATACGATCATTTCAGGCACGGAGCTCTTCAAAATGAACAGCTTTTTCCATCTTTCCCCAGGGAGCCCCAAGAGCCATCCAGCATGTAAGTGGAAGGAGACTGTTCATAAGTCTTCAGTCACAGCTTTCAGGAACACAAAGCTTATTGTTGGGATGATCCTGAAGCTCTGAGTGATAAATAAGGCAAGACAGTTAGATGAAAAGAACTGACTTTCCTTGCTAAGACAAGGATGGACTGAGTTTTGAAGTTTGACAACCTGGACCTCTCATGAGCATATGGAACACATGTTGATATGGGGTCTAGAGCTAAACACAGTATTCTAAAAGCACAGTGAAGTAGTTCAGCAACAGAGCAGAATGAGAACAAAAATCTCTTTTGACCAACTTAATCTTAGGTATATATTCTGTGCTTTTGCCTTTGCCTCTCTTTCTGGTATTCATTGATATACCAGGATATATCCAGTCTAGCTTGCTTCTTTTTTTCTTTTTTTCCTTTTTTTTCTTTCCTCATTCATTTTCAGAATTTCATATACCCTCTTGGTTTTCAGTCCTCTGAAGAAAGCAGACCTTCTGGGTTTGCATAGTTGGACTTGGAGGCTAAAAAGAATGTGCTTTCTTAAGTGATTTTGGCTTATTTGGTTTCTGAGGTCATGGACATAGTGGAAGAACACCTGCTCTCATGTTGCTTCAGCGCTTAATCCCTGTCCCAGACAAGCCTAGAAGGGCACGACACAGGAGATGAAGAATAATGTAAAAAATTGCGTAGTAACTTTTTTGAACATCCGGAAAGGTTCATGGATAATGATTTTATTTTCCCTGGTTTTCTCATATCCACACCAAAAAATAAGATTGAAAGACAGTGTTTCTTCAGCTATTACATTCATTGTTTGAGAACTTAAAGAAAAGATTAATAATTCAAGGTCTCTGCAAGCAATGTAGTAAGTCTTGAAGGGCAGATGTCCTATGACAGGTCCTATGCCTGATGCAAGCAGAAATTTGTCAGCTTTGTCTAAGGATTTTCAAGACCTTGTTACCAGTCTCTGTGTGTGTGTGCACATCTACTTGATATTTTGCTTTAATTTTTTTTCTAACCGAGCCTATTTTCCTTCAGGGTGGCAGGACACAGTGTATCCAAGAAGTCTGCCCCATTCTCTCATGTCCCCAGCACCTCAGTCACATTCCTGCTGGACAGTGTTGCCCCAAATGTTTAGGTGAGTGAGTTTTTTTCCCTAGGAATTTCGTAATTAATATTGTGTGTTTGTACATAGTATCTTTTATACCAGTATTTCCCAATACTGGTAGATTCTTTGAGGTGAAAGAGACTCTATTGCTTGGTAGAATTTATAATCTACACGTTTTGAACAGGTACTCAGGGCTGGTGTGTAGGGTTCTGATGAGTGGTACTAAGCAAGCAGCTTCAGAAGAGCATTTAAACGTAGACCAGCTGGCTTGCTTAGAGGGACAAATATAGAGATGTTTCCCACCTTTGTTTTATGTTTTACAAAGGAGGTTGAGGCAGGAGATGTTTTTTGGGAGTTTACCACAAGAGAAAGGCCTTGCCCTCTTGTATTATTATTGACGTGAGCATTTGAGTTTGTTTTGAGGAAATGCAGGCCAGAGGAAACTTCTGAACTGACATTGCATTCTCGCGAACTGTTGTCAGAGGTGCGCCACGGACCCTGGAGTCAGCCTCATGGTTGCCTTCTTAAGATGGAATCCCAGTTTCATCCAAGAATATTTTCAATTATATCTTTCCACCACATTTTAAAGGTGTAAGTCAGAGGCCTTTGAGAAGGGCTAGTTCTTCCAAGTCATGACAAAGAAGGCAGTGACAAAATAAGGCACAGATCCCAGAGGTTAACATTCTGTCTATTTCATAAACAAGGAGTACTTACATCCTACCAAGTAAGTTAGTTTTAATTTGCTCTGTGAAGTTATAACTAGGTTTGGAAAATTTTGAGAGCCAATAACTCCCAGTTCTTCAATGGAAACTTTATAATTTTGACTACGTCTTTACTATTATCCAAAGTCTGTTTCCAGGTCTAGGTTAGGGATACAGAGAGGTCTGGCCTTGAAGTCATAAAGCTGTATAGAGTTCCAGGGAAATACACCTGAATTTATTTGCTAATTGAGGAGTGCTACAGATAAATATCTGCCTGGAACGTTTAACCGTAGGACCAGAGAGTAATGCAGTAGAGGAATGGAACTGAGAGGAGAACAGTCCAAATGCTGAGCTTCTGTTTTGGCTGAGGACATTTTTCTTTTCCTTCTGTAAACTCCCCTTGTCCTCTCCTTCCCATGCTTTTCTCAACTGAACTTTCCCCTCCTTGATCTAGGCATTTGAAATGCAGCTTTAATTTTTGACTTCTTCAAGAGGATCTTTCTACAGGTTCTTTTTTCCCCCTCTAAGAATTAAACAAATTCACTAATAATAGTCAATTTCATTTTATGTAGTCTTTAAAGCATTTCATATACCTCTGAATAGATAATGTCTATTCACAGGGAAGTGTTAAAAGTTTTGGAGTGGAAGTAAAGCCAGGGGTGATTAGCATGCTGCATGGCTGTCAGGAAAGGGAAGCGTTTCCAGGGATGCTGAGGCATGATTTTTAAAGTATCATGTGGAGGACCTCCCTGCAATTGAATTCCTAATACTCAGCTTATACAGCTTAGAAGAATGCTGTGGAGTCTACTGGGACTTGAATTATTAGTTTAACTAGTGGTTATGAGCCAGCAAAGCCAACCATTAAGCCAAATATCTTCATCACCACATCTTTTAAAGCGGTAGCTTCTTTGTCAGTGGTTTTTTACCAACTATTTGAACTGGGTTGGCCACCCGGAATTGTGCTGAGTGGTTTGCAAGGCATGGCAAGACAGTGTGGGAGGGAACTGGACTTTTGTTCACTTGTTGACACAAGCTATGCTATTGAAGTCCTGGCCCCACATGGAGCAGTAGAAGTGTTGTTACAGGCGGGACCATGGCTAGGCTTTACCCGTAAGTGGTGCATGGATGTAGAGCAGTTCCTTTTAGGGCTACCAAGTGTCCTCAACTGATTTCATATGCCAGTCCTGCAAGTGAAATCAAGCCTTTTCAGAAAGATGCACATCCAGTAAATGTGGAAGGCTGGCTATGCAAGCACAGATTAATTCAAAGCAGCTAATTTGCAAGAGAGAGATGTTCAAATTGTGTTTAACTGAACAAAAGCAGTTATTTATTAACTTTTGTTTAACATTAGATTTGTAAAAACTCAAGGCTAATCCAGTGGAGTTTGCCGTGTGCTTATCCTTTTGTTTATTTATATCTCGAAAGAAAATGGAATCTTTTTCTTATAAGATGTTCTACATTTATCAAGAGTTACTTAAAAAGGAAGGAATTACAGTATGCCAAGACCTGATGGTTTAAAAGTTAAAGTGTTTGCCTAGTACTTGGTACTTCATGTATGTACTTATAGTGGCCATTCACTGCCTTGGAATTGATCTCTATTAAACATTAGACCCCAGAAACAATAATCTAGAAAAGTGACAGGCACTGATAAAAGAACTTATTATTTGGCTGCCACCAAAAGTAAATGGGGCAATTCAAAATTAGGAAAGTAAGTATACTGTTTTTGTGAAGAGCTCATGTATGTATCATAATGGTCACTTGTTTAAAATAACTTAGTGGGAAAGAAGCTGAAGAATGAAAGAAGCTTAAAAGAACCATAAACTCTATTGCAACTTGGGTCTGAAAGTGCTTGCAGAATTGCAGGACTTCAGGAAGGATTTGATTTTGATGATGCCTTCCCAGTACAGTGCTCCAAACCCTTGCCTCGCTCTCATTAAGCCTGAATATTTTATGGATTATGGAAACTAAATATCTTCTATTGCCTTCATTCTGTTCATAAACTATGCAAATGCCTGTATTTCTTGCAGTCTTGTGAGAACACGGTACACTGAGCTGTCTTAATGAGACTGGACAACACCTATGTTTTTTTTGCATCAGTGTCACTGAGTTGATTTAGCTTGGCTGCTGTGAACCCCTGAGGTAGATATGCTAAAACCAGTTAAGACTGCTTTATTTGATAAGTTATTGCGTTAAATTGAAGACTGTTTAAACTAGTTTAAGTGTGCCTACCTTAAGAGTTTACAGTGCTTACTTTTTATTCGTTTAGCTGCACTGTGCACTTTATGATGAGAAGGAGAAGAAAGATTTTTCCAATATAAACATGCTATAAATCATATTTATATTCCCTATATTATATGGTAGGATTTGTACAGATGAATGTGTACTAAAGGAACAGTGAACTGTTAAAAGCACATATTTTTTTCATACCAAAGTGGAAACACATAGCAAATGACATATTGCACATGAATTTGGTCTAGTGACCATAAGCCCTTCTATTTTTGCTGACAATATGGTATATTTTCAACCACATTCTGTTTCTATTATTGTTTATTTATATTCAGGACAGAGGAAAGTGTTTGACCTCCCATTTGGAAGCTGCCTCTTTCACAGCAATGTGTACGACAATGGGTCCTCGTTTATTTATGACAACTGCACAGTGTGTACATGCAAGGTAAGTCCGTAGTGCTTTGATATTGTGTGCTGATGGTTGTCTGGCTTAGCAGTAATTTGTAGGGCTGTGGAACTGTAAGCCTGATATTGTTCTGTGGCGTCTTGTGTGGTCCAAGGGAATATGATCTGAAGAGCACTTGCAGTTCTGCTAGGAAAGTTTAGAAGTTTACTGACTGCCTCAGCTGAGGCATGATGCCTGACTCTCTGTGATGCAAAGTAAAGTTGCTCAGACTATATGATCCTCTTAGACTTTGCATTAGAGTGGAAGAGGAGTTTCTCGATGATGAATTACCACATCTCTGCTGAATGGCAGTGATATTTATTTAGTTCCCTAACATGATTGTGACCACTTCCACTTCTGCACCTAGGCAAAAAAAGAAAGTGTCACCAAATCAATAAGGTTTTGCAGGCAAATAGAAGTACAAGCTGGGCTTTAAATTCATAGCCCGTGAAAGATTCCCTTAATCCATAAATATTTTTTTTTTCTCTGAGCTGGCGTATTCAAAGCAGTTGGGATGTAGCTTGGGTGGATGCAATGAATGAACAAGCAGGAACACTTTGTAAGGACACACGGGAGCACAAACACCTTGGTGAAGATTTTATGATTTTCTTTCATCCTTTTACCTAGGATTCAACAGTGATATGTAAAAAGAGGTGCTTACTTCCCGGTGAATGCAATAAAAACAAAGACCAATGCTGCAAGGAGTGTGTCTCATATATCCCTCCTGAGGAAGTGAAAGTGTGCAAGTTTGGCAATAAGATCTTCCAGGTAAAGCTTCAGGTGTGGTTCAAGAGTAGATGCCATTGTAACAGCCAAAACAGCATGATTTTGCTGAAGATTAGAATTGTGGCTTGTTTTTTAGCTGAATCCTCACCATCCTGGCTGATGACGGAGGCAAAGCTTTGCAAAATTTACCATCTGCTTTTTTTTTTTCCCTGAGTTTGTGTAAATTCTGCTAATACACATCAGCTAAAGCTTATGGTTTCTCCTTGAATGTTACATGTTGCCTCCCCTTCTGTATGTGGAGGTTCAAACTGCTGTTTCATGACAAGTGATGCATTTTTAGTAAGAGATATTAATGCTCTGCTTTCCCAAACAAACACCAATATTCATGGAGGAGATATTCCGAGTGGCATGTAGGCTTAATCTGCTGAACCAAAGTCTTTTCCATAGCTGAGCCAACAGGAGCTTTGTGAAGTTCTTCTTGGCTGAAAGTTACTCAATTTACTTCATTTCACGCCTCTGCTAAGGACAGCACCCCTGATATCTTATGCTGGGATAGCCATGTAGTAACACCTACCTACTCCACTCTCACCCAGTGTTTTCAAATCGCAAGGGATTCCCTGCAGAACACTTCTGCTATTGCTGAGACCCTGTTGTTTTTCCAAGTGGTGCAGCTTTTTTTTCACACTGTGTCAGAAAAAGATTCTGTCACCTCATGGGCCATCTGTGAATTAAGAGACCCTTGAATCAGATCAAATGTTAAGTCCTTTGTGAATACTTGGTTTGCTCAGCCAGAATTGCTTCCCATTTATTCCATCTTTTGTGTACATAGCTGAAGTGTTTATTCTGGAAATTACATGTGAACCTACTGTACACTGAGACTATACTCCATCTGATTGGCACTTTCACACTGGCGCTATTGTGCTTCAGGAACAAATGCCTACTTCTTAGGCACCCAACTAAAATATTCTGCTTCTTGTGAAGATTTTATTATATTACTAGTGTTATATGGAGTGTGAAAAAATAACGAGACAGTACATCCATTTCTGGCCTCGTGTGCAAAAATGTAAATCGAGTGTCGCTCTGTTGAAGTCAGTTCTCTAACACAGGTAGAGTGGGCACAGCGAATGTGTTTTTGCACTCTTGTGCAAAACCAGCTGTGAGACAAAAATTCAGGACAGCTGCGTGCAGTCAGATGTGATGTGTTCTGGTACCTTAATAGTTGCCTGGTGAATGGTCATCGGAGACCCAAGAACATCAGAAACACTAGGCAATAGTAACATTGACCTAGAAACAAAAAGCAGGAGAGAGACAGCCTTTGGCCAAGCGTGCTGCGCTGAATAAGTTAGGCTCCTTTGCATTTCAGATATGGTCTGTTTTTCTTTCTGGTCAGAACATCGTGTTGAGGTGGGCACATAATTATTCACAGCTGTCTGGTTGAGCTGCCTGTTCCTGTCCGGTCTATCCTCACCCTTCCTTCCCAGCAGCCCTGTAAACAGAAAACATGCACAGTTTGGCTCTAAGTGGACTAGCACAAGACCGTAAGTGGGTGAGACAGAATGTTTTAGAAACCACACTTGGCAAATGCAGCCCTGTGTAAAAAAGGAGCCAGGGCAGTTCCACAAGCAATTCATCCCAAGTGGGGACAAGACCATGAGGCATATTATGCTCTGCACTTAATACTTTCAGAGCCATAAATAGGCTGTCTTACCTGCTCCGCATTTGAGAATTTCAGCACTGTATCTCTTCTAAACATTTTCAGATGTTTAGCAGATCAAATATCTGTGAAAGTGCTGTAGTAATCTAAATTAGAATTCATTATTCAACCATTCCTGCCCTAAGTCAAAATGATGGTGCATCTGGGAGTAAATTCACTGTATGCTGACATCTTAATCAAATACTTTCACTTGCAACAACCTATAGACTTCACTCAACCAAGTGAATCAGGTTTTTCTAATTATGTCAGCTTAGATGAAAATTTGTGGTAGGTATGATCACATGTCAGATGCTTATTAGAGAAAAAACAATGCAAATAAACAGGACACTGATGAAAAATGAAAATGTGATTAGGTTAGCTGTGAAAAAATGAATTTCTGACCAAGAGGACCAAAGGGAAGAAAACCTTGCTGAATTTGATCTTTGTCTTGAATCCAACTGGCCATGGACAGACACCTCAAAATAATTTAGACTAAACAATGAGACAGTGCCAACAGGGAAAGTCATCCTTTCTTGTGCAATGATACATTGCTGAAATAGCTTCTTGTTGCCACTCCAGCTGATATTATATTATGTTCCCTCTTGCAGGATGGAGAGATGTGGTCCTCTGTGAACTGCACCATCTGTGCTTGTGTGAAAGGCAAGACAGAGTGTCGCAAGAAACAGTGCATTCCAGTCAGCAGCTGTCCTCATGTGAGTTTTTTAAAAGAACTGAGTTTTCTTCTCTTTTTTTCTCCACTATTATCTTTTCCAGTGTTTCTTGGAAGTGTGTGCAAGGCAGTGGGGCATGCAGTTTGGAAAGAAGGGATACTCTGGCATATTAATTTAGGTTGGCATTCCCCAAAAGTGTGCTATTGTTACCCTGAATATGGTCTTTCCACCTCTGTCCTTGCTCTGAAGAGTCTCTGATCCATTTCTCCTTCTGCGTTTAAATTTCTCTGTCCCAAGTATCTGCACTGGAACACCCTTTATGCTTATATTTCATAGTTTTATAAAATGATGAGATGACTATGTTAATATTTCAAAAGCATGCATATTCTTAAGGCAAGCCACAGTAGTTTATGAGTGCATGTGAGGCTTAATACTGGGTTGAAAATGTAAATTAGACAAAGCAAATGATTTCAACCAAGCCATGCTTCTTTGTCTAAGGTTGTGGCCTGAGTATTTTCTTATTTGAAAGTCTGAAGGGAACCCAAAGAGGAGCGTAACTGTAACTTTACTCAGTTGCTTCAAAAATTAGCTTTACTTGAAACCTTGAACTAAAGTCAGCCTTTGTTACTTGGATTTCTGACACTGACAAATTATTTTGTTTGAATGGCTCAAGCTTTCACAAGAGGGAGCTCTAAATAGCACCTCATGTAGGGGCAGATCTTTGAACTGAACTGCAGAAGAGAGAGCCAACTCATTAGATTACACCTTCTCAGTGTTTCCTTTTCCATTCTGGAAGCCAGTGGGGAAAATGTGAGTCACAGACACCTAGATATAAAATTTTTAAACGACAAACTCTAGTTTGTAAAATTTTATACATGTAAACTTCTGACAGCCAGAAGCAGTGGTAGAATAGAGAGCCTGTACCTTGGCACTCCCTGTTCTCCTGTGACAGTGGGCTTAAAGAACGATGCTTGCATCCTCTGGCACTCACTGCAGAGGGCAGTTCTCCTGTTATTGGGCCTCACATGGAGATGCTGCATACGCATTAGGAAGCGTGAACAAACGAAGCTGCTCTTCTGGGAATGTCATGTGGCTCATGGCAATGAGGTTTTCTACCTTCAGGCCATTCATGGTGTAAGCAGCAAGAGTTTGGGCTCCTCAGGTGTCTTCAAATTTTTTTTTGACTGAGCACCTGGCACACACTGCATCTCATTTATTTTTACCTTGTGCTGATGCATCACAGATGTTTAAGATGCTTCTGAGACAAAGTAGTTAACATGACTTAATATAGATCTTCAGTGAAGTACATCACTTCAGCAGTGTCCATATATAAATTTGAGCATTGAGGTGATCAGTTGAAGTGGCTTCTAAAGTGAAAATAGTGGTGGATAAAAATTCACCATCCACAGTCCTGCAGCAGCATAAGTGACTGACTGACAAACTCGTTTAGTGTTGCTACACGATCTGTTTCAAGATTAACGTGAAGTCCTAAACTGCCCTAGACCTCTGAGATGAGTCCTCAGACAAGATCTGGTTCCTTAGGGTTGAAGAGACCAGCTTTGTTACCCTGCAGCACCATTTGCTCCAGTATCTGACCAATCACCCTGCTCCCTGCCTTTAAATGCAAGCTGCAAGCAAACCCACTCTCCTCCTCAGGTATACACTGCCTTTCTGCACTTTCAAGCTAAATTGGAAGGACAAGTAGGAGAAAGAATGTAAACTCTAGAGTAAGGTTTACTTTCCTATTCCAAGTGGGTACCAAGTAATTTTAAAGCAAATAATGTATGCTAATGGATTTAAATCTTTTACTTTTCATCTCTGCTTCACTCTCTTTAATGAGATTTTTCTGTCACAAATCTATAAACATCAGTTAAGCACACCACATTATTCAAGATACAGATATATTAGTGATTCTGATACTGGAAGTATGGATATCATGCATAGTTATGCCACTGCCTCTGCAAACTGTAGTGGTGTGCTTTCCATTTGTTTTCTCTCTTTACAATGTTTCTGACAGTAAGCACTCTCTGCTGACAATTGAGACTGCTGTGGAATAAAATGTGGTTTAGTGTCCCTCACGTGTCAGGCCACATAAAGTTATCTCATTAAAACTGTATTATGGTGTAGACAACCGATAGGGAAAGGACTGAAGATTCACAAAGAACTTAAAATATTATTCCATGGCTTAAATGCTTTGCCATGCATTCTTAATACTCTTTGCATGTTATTGTGGGTTTTTTTGGTGATAGAATTTTATTTTATTTTTCAACATAAATTTTGGCCAATTATTTCTTGAAAGGATGGGCTTCAAAGTGGAATTCTGCAGAAATTTCCAGTACTGTGCAACCATTTGTATTATTCAATCTATTGGTTGCAGGCTGACATAGAAGACATTTGAAGACTCTTTCTGCCTTTTCTTCAATTTTCTTCATAGGGTTAGGCACATTTTTCTGTTTCTTTTTTCTTTTCTTTTTGGAGCATTTAATCCTGTATCAGTAATCACAGGAAGTGTCTTTCTTAGCTACTTTTCATCTGCAGCAGAGGCAATACACCTCACAAATTCTGTCCTGCCTGTCACATTTATAGTAAAATTGGTTCTCCTTGGACTTCTAGTGAGCCTTGTGGTTTGTGGTTACTGTTTCTTACCTTCTGACCACTGACTCCAAATAGATATTCCCTCTCTCAAGTTACCAGGAGTGTCAGCCGGCAAGGTGCGGTACATGCTGGCCCCCATCCAGCAAATCTATTAAGCATGTGTCCAGTTCTGCTGAAGTTAGTTAATTATGGGCCCTCCATGTGTGCTTAAACTTAAACACATGCTTAAATACTTTAAAGAAAGGGAGTAATCTCAACACTTGGCAAGACTGAGTTTCAGAGATTCCTTTAGAACTTTTCATACCTAACTTGCTATTTACTTGCCCTAGCTCTGCTTGAGCCTCTTTCTTGCTTTGTGCCATCTCCTTTCTGATTACCCATCCTTACCATTTTTCACCTGCCCCCTCTCCTTGTGCCTTTACATTCCTCACTAACATCTTAAGCCTATGGTAATGATCAGTGGTCATGAACACATCTCTTTTTGTACTGCAACAGGAGAGCCTGGTGAATTTTACAGCGTGCAGCCTCTTGTGAGCTCCAAGGCAAAAGTTAATAGAATTATATTCACAGAATGTGAAGACATTTGCAGAGTTTGATTCTGTGGGTAAATTTTGAACCCATGAACTTCAAGTGAGCTGAAAATTTATTCAGAACACACTCTCCCATCTCTAGCACAGACTGCATTTAATGTTATACACATCTGTTATTATTACAAACAAAAAGTTGCTGTTTTTACTGTAGTGCCAAATGAGGCACAAAAAAACAACAGCTGTTGCTATTGCACAACTAAACAACCCCCTCCCCTCAGCAATTAGTTTTGCCTTCAAAAAAAATACAAAATAAAAACCTCAGACATTAAAATTGAAAACCTCATAAAAAAGAAGAAAAATCCCAGAAAATAAATAGACTCAAATGTGGTCTGCTTATAAATATTCATAGGGAAAAATGGGATCACATCACTTAGCCCACTCCTAAGGGAACCCTCAATGCTAACGAACTCTTGCAGCACATGTTAGCAATAATGGGTTTCCTTATTCTACAAGACAAAAACAGGATCTCGGGCCAACATGGTGGCTCAAGTAACCAGCCTCAGCAGGCTGCCTTGGAGAATCCGATTTCACTTGAATTCTTGCCACTTCCAGCTTGGCTGATGATTTCCACTCTTTTATTGAAACGGCGAGGTAAGGCTGTGCTGTGCAGTGCAGTGTGTGGCATTCAGCTGCATGTGTTCCGTTCATAGAAATATGTGTTGCCAAGCTCCCTATTTCTGTGTGGTTTTAATGGTTCCTCCTTTAAGTGGTTTTGTTCTAGCAGGTGCTGGATAGGCCTCCCTGTTGCTGCCTGGTCTTCAGCTATTCTCTTTGCTCTGGGGCCTGGTTGTCTCACAAACATCTTAAGCGCTGCCCACACTGCCAGTGAAACTCTGATCCAGCCCTTCTCTCAAGTCCAGATGTGCCTCAACTCTGTTCACATGGAGTTGCACATTCAAAGACAAGCTTACACTGAGCTTCTTCTGTGCCTTGTGGATGATGTGCCCAAGTGCATTCATCACCAAGCACTCATTCTGTGCTCATCTCAAGCAAGGGCAGGATGGAGTGTGCTCCACTCCAGTCTGCCAGCAGACACTCGGAGTTCATTTCTCCCCGTACGCATTGTCAAAGCATGGCAGCACTGTAGGAAGAAAGCAAGGCAGAAAGCAATAGGGGTTGCTGCTTTTGCCCACTTCCCTGCTCTCTGCATAGACCTGCCACCTATTTTTTTCTGTTTTCACAAGTTTTCTGTGCTGTTGAGTGGGCAGGATAGCACAGCTCCATTTTCTTGCTCTTGCTGGCCTCACCTTGTTCACTTGCTTGGTTGGGAACAGGAGCAGTAATCAGACAGAGGAGACTTTCTCTGTTTTCAGCTGCTGTTGGAGCAAAGGGTCAGTGCTGGGGTGCAGCAAAGCTTTGTATGCCTCTTCCTTCCCTGTATGGGAACATGGGTGAGCTCAAATATCACCATCAGTTCTGTTAAAACCAACAACAGGTTTTGCTTGGAAAAACACATTGTTTAGGCTGAAATTTTCCAGGTGTATCCACTAGCTTGATGGTTAACTTTAGGGAATTTAAATAAAAAAAATCAGTTAGAACATCTTTAAGTTCATGAAGACTGAAAAGGAGCATGAATTTAGGCACACAGAGGCATGCCTCCTGCTTCTAGTCATCCTTGCATAAGACACAACTGTAAGTAGAATTGACCTGGGCAGAGTGGTAGATAAATACTCAAACCCTTTATCCACATTGCTATGATGAGACCAAACTGTTTGCTTTTAAATGTTGCACATCCTTGGATGCCTGCCCATTTACTTCACCAGGGACATAGGTCTATGTGATTTGGTGGACATACCATAAGATATAGCCAAACTAGACCTCTATCAGTTCTTTCTTTCTTTCCTTCTTCCCTTCCTTCCTTCTTTCCTTCCTTCCTTCTTTCCTTCCTTCCTTATTTCCTTTCTTCCTTCTTTCCTTCCTTCTTTCCTTCTCTTTTTTCTTTCTCTCTTTCTGCCTACCTTTTTCCTTCCTTTCATTTCCTTCCTTCCTCCTTCCCTCCCTTCCTTTTTATATGAATAATGAATGATTTTGGAGGGGCCTGGGGTGGAGCAGATTGCCTCTGTGTCATGACTAAAAGGGAATGCATGGGAAATGTATTGTTTATATTTTGGGGAGGTGGGGGGAAAGGTAGCAATCTTGTTAACCCAATGACTAGTCAATTCTCTCACACTCTCTCTAAAGAGAAAAGTGGTAACAGAGAACCCTTTTAGTATTTCATTTCTTATAAGGCTGCCAGGAAGCTCTCTGAATAGTTCTGTCTGTTTTTAGCACCTGATATTTGAAGCTGTAACTAGGGCACTGAGTTGAAACACAACTTAAACTATTTTCAAGGGCTTATCCAGTCTTACAACATGACGCAGTCATTGCTCCAAAAACTCTTTTATTAAATCAGCCTGTCTTTCTCCCTATTAGAGTAAAATCCTGAACAGAAAAGGATGCTGTCCTATTTGCACTGAAAGTAAGTTCTTTCTTCACATTCTTTAAATTCTTTTTTATTCTTTCTGAGAAAATAAATATAGTAGAAGTATGTCTACTTTTCTGCCTTCTTTTTAGAGGTGGCTACGGGGCAGGTGATTATTGCTGGCCATGGATTTTGCCTCCTATAAATCTGTAAATTTAAAATAAAATACTTGGGTATTTTATTTTTTTCAAAATGACACTATTTTTTCAAAACTGAGGTGCTGCATTTTGAAGGATATAGTTGGCCTGTGAAATTTGTAGGCAATAAAACACAAAAATTAATAGAGTTATAACTGTTATGACTTGGGTCCCTTTTATACCTGTAACTAACAGTCCAGCTATGTGTATATATAATCCAACACCTTTGCAGATGATTTGTGAGAGTTAAAAAAAGGTGTGCAGAAATCTGAGAAACAGTCTGGGGCAGCAGTGGAAAGTAGAATAGACAACTATCTTTCTTTCTTTGTGTTGTTTAGTTCAACTGTTTAGTTCAACTTTTTTATCCCTTTACTCTTCACTTCAGGAACAATCATTTAATTGTTATATCACTTGTGTTCTCTCCTAGTCAGCAAAGCACTTGCACAAATACTTACCTTTAAACTAATCTATTTAGGTCAACAGGGAGACCTGTCTTCCCTGAAGTTAACAGGATACCATTACGTATTTCCTTCAGAACATGTTTAACTATTTTACCTAATAGGGACAGACTACTAAAATAGGCTTTTATAATCTATAGGAAGGCTTCTGAGAGAAGGAACTGGTTTTTAAGGAGAGTGTTCCTGTTCTTTTGTCTAAAATCAAATGTTTTTGCTGATCGGCTCAATTCTGGGTGCTTCTTGGATTGCACAAATTCCATATGCTAAATATCTGGCTTTACACTCTGCAGCTCAATTATTTTGAAATGCTGTAACTTGGGATAAAATAAATCTAATTTGCAAGTCTTCATTATCAAAATGAAATTAAATACAAGTGACAACTTTGCAAACACTTGAAATAATGCTGAGCAGAGGAAGAAATGAAAGAGGACTCAGTTGACCAGCAGTGGATTTTTTGTTAGGTCAGTTTCATGGGAGATGAAATTTGCACAGACCTTTGCTCAAATATGACATATCATTAGTGTCATGGATTTATCGATCTCTATCTCGCCTCTTTTCTTGTTTCAGTATCACTTAACCTTTCTCATGTGTTCTTTTGTAATATGAGAGTGGAGGAAAATAATGGGGCCAGCCATTCCCTCAAAGCACAGGAGACCCTTTACTGTAAGAGGTTAAAAAGAAGACAGTATGGTGATTCCTTCAGAAATGCTGCCAGAGTGATGACTTGTGATAATTGTTTCATGGGAGAAGGAGGCAAACCCCAGACTTCTTGAAAGTAAAAATAACTCATCTATGAACCAGGTTACCTAAAAATTCAGAACTTCTTGATGATATAAGAGAAAAATAGTCATGATTACACAATGTGAAATTAAGGGCAGACCATTGTTGCTTGTCCTCCAGCCATGCAGATCTGTAGAGAACCTGGCTCCATCTTCCCAGTGACCTCCTTCTGGGTTCTGTCAGACTGCTCTTAGGTGTCTCCAAAGCCTTCAGGATAAGAGAAGGGATCAAGGGACTTGCAGGTCCTGTCTGCATTGCACTGGCTGTACCACCATTGCATATGAGGCAGAGTGGTCCTGAGATCTGTCTCACTATGGACCCATTTATTTTTTTTGGGGAGAGCTTTTTCTAAGCTGTTTCTAAGCTTTTATAATTAAAAGGGCATTCCCAGCTTTTATCAGGTAATGTAATCAGCGAGCTTAAATACCCGCTGTCATACAGCAGTGGTGGCTACTGCTATCTGTTTGAACACTAGCATTTTAACAATGCAAGGAACTAATTCCGCCTTTGCACCAGAACTGCTATAAATCTCATCACAACATAAGACCAGCAAAAGGCATAAGGATTTCAGTGATGATCACAATCTCAGGTAGTAATTAGGAACTTTGCTAATTCAGCCAATTTTTGATAAGATGTACGTGCCCAGTCCTTTCCCTCACCCACTCATGTTGATCCTCTTTCCACATACTAGCACACCGAACGTTTCTGGCGATCCAGCAGATATTAATTTTCCAAAGTAAAAACAACATAGGGAGGTACAAGAACATACTGTACACAGGAGAGCTTTGAGTATGGTTTAAAAGCAGCCAGTTTCTACGAAGTGGGTCAAAACCAGTCATGTTGTGAAAGAATACACTTTAAACGAAAAAAAAAATAATCAAAGGATTACTTTCAAAGTAGTTTGTTGCAGAGAGAAAAAGTACCTCATCTCCTTAAGTGCTGGAGGGTCTCTTTTGTCCACTGTTGCTGAAGTTAACTGGAGTTAGTTTTGGCATGTTGCTGTTTAAGCTCTATGGCTGGCGTACAGTTATCACTAATTAAACACAGTGGTCATACTAGTGGAAAATTCAACAGTTTAGTTTATGCTGCTGTAAAAAAATGTAATGAAATGTACTCTTTGGGTTTGATTTAGAAAAATCACCACTGACGTCAATTCCATAAATTAGTAATCCTATGTTAGACCAAGGTCATTTTCATATTAAAAATAAGAAAACATTAAACCTGAGTTCAAATAACATTAACAGACTGCTCTCAGCTTCAGACAAAGACAGGAATTTGCAGTGAAGGTTAAGTCTTTGTTCTTGACAAGGAAGAATTGATAGGCCTTGCTGAAATTATAGCACATAGTATGAAAACTTCCTATTGAAACCATATAGATGTATTTTAATCATGATCACTAATAATCATAACACAATCTTACCCAAATCATTATGAGATTTTGTGGATGAAGTTTTTTCAAAGTGGACTATAGTCATCCAGGTCTAGCAGTACACATGATTAATTTTGCAGTTAAGGCCTCTTTTGGGGCAGAAAGTTTTGTACAATACAAATCATTCTGCAGGTTCTTTAATTGACAAAATGATCAATGGAGCAAAAGAAAATTCGATGACATTTGGACCCAGCCTTAGGAGTGAAAGGTTAGTACTTTCACCTGGTCCTTCACTTGGTCCTGCATCCTTTTTATGTGTTTTTATAGAATTACTGAAAAAAAGTACTGATTCCTCAAAGCAAGCAAACAAACAAACAAACAAACAAAAAAAAAGGGGTTATGCATTGGAGGTACCTGTGAGAGCAGGTAGTGGGACGAAAGGACTACATAGGCCCCCATTACCTGTGTTATTTCCTTGCCATGGAGAAATACACCAACAAAAAGACTGCAATTGTGTATTCATACTGGAACACTGTTCATGATTTACCTCCCATTTCAGCTCTGATGGTCTACTGTATAAATATGTATTTGGACAAATTGGAATAGCTATTTTATTTATGAAATAGACCATAAAGATTCCTGTGGAGTTTTTGACACCACACCTTGTAATGTGTATTATATCAAGCTGCACTATGCAGTAGTTATGAGGAAAGTACTCTATGGCTATGCATTTTTTACAGAAAACCTAATGAAATTCTATTATGCATGTTCTGTAGCTAGTTTTCAAAAGTTAATAATGTGTTCTGTTTGATTTAGTGCTTAATTCAGCATATGGGCTAATTGCATTCAAAGTTTCATTTTATTTTTAAAAAGCTGAGATATTTTTGAATTATAGATGTGCAATCAGAACACCCTTAACTGGTAAACTTGTATTTTTTCCTCCCTCTCCTTGCTTAGAAAGTGTCCAAACCAATTTCAGTTATAATTTAAAGTATATTTTTCTTGGCCACTCTTAACTACCTACAAGCCCAGAAGAGTGTGACCAGACATCTGGACATCTTGGACTTCAATTGACTGCTCTGATCTCCTGAAAAAACAAAACAAGCTATTCCATGAGCACCAGAGCTAACAGAGCCTGGTTTCCTATGGATTTGTGTCCCATTTCCTTTATATCCCAACAAATAATAAACCCAGCTAGAGACAATATATCCTGAGGCTGGTCTGGAGCTACAAGTGTGCTAATTGCCCAGCCAATACGCTCATGTTCTCCGGCTGGTCAGGATGTGTGTGCTGACTGTCTGTCTGGCCTCCACCAAGCAGTATATATATATTTTGCCTTTCTAAAAAGGCTAAATACTGTCTGGGGGAATGGGGGCATTGGGTAGAAGGCAGAAAGGTACATTTTGGCAACCACTTATTTCAATAAGCGGTTCTTACCTTTACTCAGCACACTAGTTACTAGAAATGAGTGGTCTTTCAGACTTTTATCCCTCCGTATTGGCCAAACAGGTTGAGATATTTTTTTCTTTCTGAGAGTATGTTAAAACTTAGGAAATGCTGATGTGTTCTTTTCCATGCTGTTGCTTTTTTAGCTTCCTTTTTTTGTACAGCTAAATGTGTTCTCAAAAATGGTGCTCCTTGCCCACAGTTACCGTCCCCATTACCTTTTCTAATGAAAGTCACTATTTCATGTGAATTGGGAGCATGATTTGTAAATGCAAGGAAAGCATGCCAAGAGTTCTATAGTATTCACTTTAGCACCTAAATGCTATTATTAGTTTGCAAGTAAGCTGTAGAGCCTGAGGTGGAAGCTGAACAAACTGCATTCATCACACATATAGTTTGATATTGTCAAATGTAAAAGGGTGAAGTCCGTATTTAGTTGCTTAAAGAACAAATGTGAAAACTGACAAGCTCCCAAAAGCTTCTATGAATGCCAGAAGTTTTCAATACCGATTTGGGAGTGACATGCAGGATTTCCAAAAGAGGTCTAAAGGTGTTTGCATCCATCTCCCAATAATGTTTAATCAGAGTTGAGAGCCTGAGATGTTTTGAAAATCACAGCCTCCTGAACATAGCTCTGTGTCTGTGCTTTTTTAGGATAGAAAGGTATAACATTTTTTGATTCAAGGAAAGACTGGACAAATTCACAGAAAATAAGTCTATCAAAAGTTACTAAATTAGGGGAAATCATGCCTAGCTCAGAAAGTCCCTAAACTAAAAGTAATTGGAGTCTAGGGAGGCCTTATGGGGAAGTATTGTATATAATTGCCCTTTTCTAATTCTACCCTGGACAGCTGAGAGAGACAAGGAGTATAAGCAATAGGCTGGGAACAATTTACTGTAGGAAGGAAAGGGGAAGCTCTTCACTCACGTGCTATGTCTTGTTAGCATAAGCTGGGAAATTTCATACTCCAGTGTTGGGGAACATTGGTGATGCAGCAACACCCCTCCATCTGTTATGTCCCAACAAAGGAGCAAGTCATACACAATCCCAGCTAGAGAATCGGTGCCTCCAACAGATTTCAAAAACTTCCAAGCAGAAAGGCTGGTTTGTTTCAGAAAGGAAAAAGAAGAAAAAGAAAAGAAAAAAAGAAAGGGAAAAAAGAAAAAGAAAAAAAGGAGAAGCAAACCATAAAATATGATGTGATTGAAACTCTCCCAAAAGGAAATAAACAACAACCCAGAAGCTGTATATGGCAGGAACTCTTTTCCATGTTGACTGTCTTTTGCAGTCTTGTTACACCTGGTATTTAAGGTTTATTTCTAGGCCAGCCAGTTTTTCTTACTGGCAGTGCCTGAGTTATCGCACACACTCTTTCATGGTGCGGATTTATTTTTTAAAACTCACGATTTTAGCAAACCTTTCAAGAATGTTTTACACAGTGATATCAGAGAATCAATTATTCAGACTGTTTTTAGGTGGATTTTCCCTCCTCCATTTCCTTGGTTATTAAAGAAAACAGCGAAATTTGGATCAGACATTCAGCTATCCAGTCCAAAATACATTTTTAACTGCATTGCATCAAGTTGACAGATGACGTGTCACGATGTAGCATAACATAAAACAACATTACTCTGCATAACACATGAGAAATTAAAAATAAATATTTCCTTTGGATCCCATTGGGACTATCAATTTTGCTTGCACATCTCTAAATTATGTTTATTCCTCTCATGTCTTACCTCTTAACCACTTGCTTAGGTGAAGAATCAGCCTTCCCCTCCCAATAGGTTGGCTAATAACATATATAACGTGCACATTCTTGGTCTTTAGAAACACAAACAAAAAACAGTTCTTTCCTCTGGAATCTTTACTGATATTTGGATGATTATTTTTGTTGTTGTTGTTGATAGTTTCCTTGTTTTCATAAAAGTTGTGATTACATTAGAAGAAAAATTAGAGATGGAAAAGCTTAAGGAGAATCTGAGCTGATAATGCCATGTATCTTAATATTCATCAAGCAGATACTTAGATGGGTGCATAAGGAAATCAGAAATGTGTTAATGTGATTTAGTAACAGGTAAAGTCAGATCGTCTCCATATGAAATTTATAGATTTTTTTTTCCTGTTGGTAAAAATTACATTGGTGATTAAAAGCTGTATGGTTCGTGCCAATTTATGGAGAATCAATCTTTCAGTGAACTTTGTGGAAAGCAGTTATTAACATCCTTATTGGTATCAGTGGGCAAAAGGAAACTCACAGAAGTGCAACTTTTTAAAAGCACCCTTCTCGGTCTTCAGGCTCTGCTGAAAGTCTGTCAGGCCTGTTTTCCAGAGGGGATGATCAGATATGGTTCATTTTGACTTCTAATGGAGCTGTCAACATGATGTCCTTGAGAAATCAAAACTTTTGGTCCCTAGTTGCCGCACACACTAAAGAGGGTTAATAATGATGCCAAGATTAGTTACTGTCTTAGCTAAAGAAGTATGCATGTGGCTAGTTAGGGGTAAAGTACAAATCACCCAGGTACCAGCTCTGTGATAGCACTGCACCATGTGATGAGGGGAGACTGACTGAGGTTAGGCTTTAGGAAGACCTTTCTCACAGTAGGGACAGCCAAGCACTGCCACAGGTTATCAGAGGTGGCTGTGGAGTTGCTGTTACTACTGCTCTTTAGGAGCAGGTTAGATAGGTCTGTCAGGAATAATATAGGTACAGGTGATTCTGCATTGCAGCTGGAGAAGAAGGTAATGTCTCCTGGGGTTACCTTCAGCCCTGTTTTCTGGATCTCCATGTGGGTATCCTTGGGTGCTCTTTACAGCTAGAAAAACTCCAGAAAGATTATAATTGCTTTAGCATAACACTCTGCCTAGGCTGAAAAACCCTGCTGAGAAAGGTGTATTGTGTAGTTAAAACTGCATTCCACTCCACTGAAGGAATTCCTTTCCCCTTCTCCATAACATTCATGTCTCCTTTTTTTGTAGATTTGAATTTGTCTTTTTCAAGCTGCTTTTTCAGGCAGGCCATTTTATTTGTATTTTTTTCGTCCAGTGAATAAATTGTATTCCTTGTTACTCTCCCCTCCTTTAATTTTTGCTTTTAATTTCTTTTAACTGATGCTCACAACCCTCTGATTACTGGGTCAAATTGTCCTCCCTCTAAAACAAGCATCATCTTTCAAAAGCAGCCTTAGCCCATGGGTGTCCAGCTGGCAGTGGCAGTGGCGGTGTGCATTTCTCTACCTTGAGACTCCTTCTCAGGAGCAGTGAGATGTGGTTAGAACCTATTGTTATACCAGAAGGCTGCAAGGCAAATAAATTTATTGCTATCTTTGATTGTGAGGCAATTCAATCAGTTCATGGCTAGCTGCAGGGGAGCTCAACATCACTGTCAGGAGTGTGGAAACGTTCTGCCTGTGAGCTGTGACTTCTCCAACCAGTGTATGGTTGGTGTATGGCTGCAAACATCCATAAGAAATCTCCATCCATTTGTAATAATGTGAATAATTGGTAGAGACACCATGGTCTTAGGTAGTTATTGCTTCATGTTAGTCATGTACTACTGACTTCTAGTTGGTAGTGTGGTAACAATAACTACTACAATCGCTTGTGTATAAACAACATATGCAGTAGCTTGTAAAACTGAATAAAGATACTGTTTCTACAGATGATTTTGGGGGAAAAGTAAATGTGCCTAGTTTAGAAGATGTGTGATATTTATAAGTGTGCAAATGTAAAATTTGGACAGAGGCAGGTCCTGCTGAAGTGGTTTGATGGTTTTTAAATTCAGGGAGTCATTGAAATGTGAACAATTTCACAGGCATTGTAATAACCTAAACTGTTCTGATGGTAGATTATTATTATATGTTTCAGGGACAAAAGTGCAGGTTAGTCTTCCTATGCTGCCCCAGGAATCAACTGGCCTTTGGTTCCCACCCTCTTTGGGAAAGACTTCTACTAAAGCTGTGAAGCTTTTGGTTTTAAAAGATGTATCTATTCCTAGTGGGTGTCAGCCAAAATCTGCCCTGTAGAGCAGGTAGACTAGGTGAGAGCAGCGTCCTCTAAGTTCTTATCAACTGCCTTTTTCAGACTTTGATTGATCCTGATATGGCGCTTTTGTTTCTCACTCACCTGCAGAGCCTGGAGTTTGCACTGTATTTGGAGACCCTCACTACAACACTTTTGATGGACGGACATTTAACTTTCAGGGAACATGTCAGTACGTTTTGACAAAAGACTGCTCCTCCTCTGCCTCGCCCTTTCAGGTGCTGGTAAAAAACGATGCCCGTCGGACCCGTTCTTTCTCCTGGACAAAGTCAGTGGACCTTGTGTTGGGCAGAAGCACAATCAGCCTCCAGCAGCACCTCACAGTGAAGTGGAATGGGACACGAATCTCACTACCTTGCAAGACACCGCAATTTCAGATCGATTTGGATGGTTATTTGCTGAAAGTGACAACCAAAGCAGGTAGGGCAAGTATATGTGTGTGTCTGTGTATGCTTGTGTGTGTCTTCTTTCTCCCTGAAGAATTTCTCAAGTTCAGCCAGAACAGTAGTCAGTAAAAAGGCACGATAGCGGTAACAAATATAGTCATAAATCTTTAGAGATCTTAGGAACCCAGAGTGCTTTCAAGATTCCCGCAGCCCACAAGCAGAGAGGGATCCCAGCTATGAGTTTGAAGTCTGCAGGATATTTGCTAAGCTGTGTTTCATTCTGCGGCTGACAATTAACTGTCTGAATAGATCAATGTGCCATGATTTTCACTTCCAGTAACTTAAAATGGCTTACAGAGGGTGTGGTGGGTTGACTCTGGCTGGACGTCAACCAAATGTGCCCACCAAAGCCACTCTGTCATCCCCTCCTCACCTGGACAGGGAAGAGGAAATACAATGAAAGACTTGTGGGTCAAGATAAGGACTGGGAGAGATCACTCAGCAATTACTGTCGTGGACAAAAGAGACTCAACTTGGGGAAATTAGTTTAATTTATTGCCAATCAAGTCCGGGTAGGATAATGAGAAATTAAGCCAAATCTTAAACACACCTTCTGCCACCACCCTACCTCTTCAGAAACTTAACCTTACACCTCATTCTCTCTACCTCCTCGTGCCCTGAGTGGCACAAGAGGACAGGGAATGGGAGATGCAGTCAGTTCATCATACATTGTATCTGCCACTCCTTCCTCCTCAGAGGGAGGACTCCTCATGCTCATTCCCTGCTCCAGCGTGGGGTCCCTCCCATGGGAGACAGTTCTCTACAGACTTCTCCAATGACTCCCTCCCACGGGCTGCAGTTCTTCGTGAACTGCTGCAGTGTGGGTCCCTTCCAGAAGGTGCAGTCCTTCAGGAACAGACTGCTCCAGTGTGGGTCTGCCATGGGGTCACAAGCCCTACCAGCAAACTTGCTCCATAATGGGCTCCTCTCTCCGTAGGTTCACAGATTCTTCCAGGAGCCTGCTCCAGGGTAGGCTTCCCACAGTGTCACAACCTCCTTCATGCATCCTCTTGCTCCAGCATGGGGTCATCCATGGGCTGCAGGTGGATCTCTGCCCCCCATGGGGGTCCCCCATGGTCCTCCACGGGCTGCAGGGACACAGCTGCTTCACCATCATCGTTGCCATGGGCTGCAGGGGAATCCCAGCTGTGGCATCTGGAGCACCTCCTCCCACTCCTTCTCCACTGACTGCAGGGTTGTTTCTCTTACACATTCTCACTCCTCTTTATGACAGCAGTTGTACAGGGCTTTTCTCCCCCTTCTTAAATATTTTACCTGGGATGCTACCACTGTTGCCGAAGGGCTCAACCTTGGCCAAATCCACCTTGGAGCCAGCTGGAATTAGTCCATCTTGGAGCCAGCTTGAATGAGCTCCACTGGACTCCCATTGGCTTCCATGGCGGGAACCTTCTGGCAGCTTCTCACATAAGTCACCCCTGTAGCCCCTCCACTACCAAAATCTTGCCATGCAAAGTCAATACACAGCATCATCATTTAATGCTTACAGATAAAAATAGAGAGAGCAGTTCTTAAACATAACATTCAGGGTTTTTTCACAGTTGCAACAACATATTTTGCAGTTTAAGTCAGCAATTGTACAAAATCATAGTTATTAATGGCTGGAATGAGTTTAAGCTGTCAAAGTATGGACACATTTCACCAGGGCTACCCAGCAAAATGGAGGCCCTGGTTTGAAAACCAAGGCCTAATTTGCTGCTCAGTGCCGTCTTGTTGGGCTTGCTTTGTGCCCAAGTAAGAAGCTGTCTGCAAGAAACAGAGTCTATAGCACCAGAAGCAAAAGCAAATTAGGAACTTAAGAGAATCTGGTGCCTTATTTCTAGAAACAGGGAAGGGAGATACCAGAATCTCAGTTCTTTTGAGTCCTAGAAAATACTTTAATTGTCAAAATGCTAAACCAGAGGACTTTCATTTGTTTTGATAGACGGTTCTGAAACTATAGTATCCTTGCATAGATAAATACTGAGGGGAAGTTAAAAATTTTCTCATTAGCATATGTTAGGTACTACTCTAGTCCTGAGAGATTTCACTTGCACAGTGAAGTACTGTTTCAGTGAGAATACTATTTGCTGTTAATTCAATTAAATGCCATGTGAAAGCAGTGAAACCAATCTTTCTTACGGAGTGATATGGTCACAGGCATGACGCATAGTCATACTCATTATCTAGCATAATTTTTTTTTCAAGGGGGACACTAGCACCCACTGTTGAGCTGAGAATTTAGACACCTGTTCATATAGCCCCTGGAAATGTAAGTCTGCATAATGTGGATCCCAGCTCTGGGCTCATTCCTCAAAGTGGCAATGCAGATTTTTGTGGCTGTCTGTAAAATGCACACAAGTTGACCATTATTCACAGCTTCTAATTAAAAGCATCTTGAGGGTTTTTCTTTGCAGCCAGCTGAACACCATGAATTCTGACGATGTGGATTTCATTAGCCAACCACAGGCCAGGGAAGGGTTTTCAATTGAAGATGAATGACAACTAATCCTGCTGCTATTCCGTTTGTCTCTGGTGCAAGCCTAATAAATGACTACACACATCCTTGTCCATGTGTTGGCAGAGGAAGTGCAAACATGGCATATGACAACATACCAAACAGTGCGTAATCACTGCAAATTATAGCCTAAATAATTCCTCCCCTTAACGGTGCAGAATCAGGTTTCTCTCACTGAATGCATCACGTTGGGCCAAGTCCTCCTTTCCTCAGCACATAAGGCCTGGAAAGCAGCAGAACGGCATGGCTCCATTTTGCTGGGAGAGGACAAGCAGCAGAGAGGTTGTAGAGAAGAAGAATGTGCTGAGTAGAACCGGTTTAAACACAAGCATTTTGTTCCACAGGAAATTCTGAGTGCCGGGGGGGAAAAAATTGGAGCATTTTCTCTGTTTCAGAAGGAAACAGGGATTTTAAAAAAAATATATGCTTTCCCAGTGTAGGGTGAAGAAAGAGGGGGAGGGAGGAGGTAATGAAAAATAAGCAAAACCACTGCACTAGAAGCAAAATTCAAAGTAAAATTGGGCTGGGAAATGCAGGGTCTGGTGCTTACAGCTCAGCCAGCATTCCCATGGCTTTTGGTTTTCCTTTTACAGAGCTGGGAGCTGAGCCCTGGATAAAACAGGGAAGCCCAAAGCTTCAGGAAGCCTTGTGGTCCCTGGCTACAGGGCAATGTGCATGGCAGGGCAGTCCTGGAGTTTCATACCCTGATCATGCAGGCTTCCAGGCAGCCCACCAGGCGAGCTGGCAGGGAACCAGCTTGGAGCCTTGCCTGTGCTGTGTTAGAAGTTCATTGCATACGATATGTCTCCCTGAAGCATTTCATTTCTGATGAATTGGCATTTTCCACTGAAAACCTGTTTTGTTGCTGAATTCCTCACCAGCTGTAGCCCTGGATGCCATGCAGCAGCAATGCTTGCAGTCTACACTGGCAGGTACTCATCATGGATGTACTTGGGGTGGTGTTGAGTCCTTATCTAAAATTTCTGTGCTGCAAAGACCAGAGAGTAGAGGTTCAAAGGGCTGGTATTACTCATCTATCTCTCTAGTGCACAGACTACATTTTATTGTTGTTGTTGTTTCTGTGCTGATCTTTTGCATAAAGCCACTTTGCTGAGGTTTTCTGTACCACTTTGGCACTAAATCTTTAGGGAAGAATGTTCTGCCAATTCTTGATTATGCCTTTACCATTGAAATCATGCAGAACAATTGATGAGAGCTCCCAGCTTGGGGAACTCAGTGTGTGATGTACATAAATCTTGTAGGATTTTTTTTTTTAAATGCAGTAGAGTACATAGTGTGCCAAGTTAAGAAATCGAGTAACAAGTTGGTTGAGCATCCTTCAAAGAGAGGGGAAAATTGGAAAACCCTAAAAGTAACTCAGAGAGTATTCCTTTTCTGCACATCCCCAGATGGGACAGATGTTGCATCCGTTGGCTTCACATCTCTTGGATTCTGATCCTTGTCCAAGTGAATGGGAAACTCATCCATTTTGAGCAGGAGAAAAGGGGTTATAGCCACCAAGAAACTCTTCCACAGAATTTCTGTCTGCCGAGGAGACCATTTCAAACGTTGATTTGTAGCGCAGTCCCATCTGTCACAGTTCTTGTTGATTTACAGAAACTAACTGAGTTTTCTGCTTGTGAACAAACAGAAGGCACACATTGCACAGTGAAATTAGACTCCAACAAAATTATCATGCATATAGGAATAAATACCCTTCCCTGCTACTCCAAAAGGGAATAAGCTCTGTTATGGACAGAAACCTTTAGTCTGTTCATCAAAGCTAGAAATTACCCTTCCATCTGAGCAATTACAGCAGAATAAAGTGTAATTAAACCGTACCCAGCTAGAGGAATGTACATCCTTTTGTGGTAGTTACACAGTGTGCATCTTGAATGAAATCCAGTAATCAAAACAAGAATCTCTAGGTTTAAAAATGTGCATTTTTATATGCTGAGATGAAAAGCTATAATTTTATGCTATTTTTTGTCTGCATACCTGCATGCCTTTTGCAGGGCTACAAAAGCAGCATGTAACAATTAGTTTAACTTACCTCTCATGAGAGGGACACAAATACTCAGGAAAATTTTAAAGTTAACCTTTCATAATTAATTTATTTTCACTGAAAGTAAGTCTTGTCTTGAGCAAACAAATAGTAATAAAAGGAAAATTAAGATAGAACCATTAGCCAGTCTTTTCTGACTTTGTTTAAAGGGAAGCAGGTTCTAAGGGAGCTTGTCTGGGGGAAGAAATGGAACACTACCTTAAAAGCTGTAGTTATTATCTGAAGAAAACTGCCTGAGAATTTGGATCTTGATGCTTTAAACTTTGAGAAAGTTTATATAATTCTCAAGTCTGAAGAAATCCTGGTTTATAAGTTAATGGCAAGTTTTCTCTAAATGCCAGCACGGCAGTATTAATCTTGTGTCTGCAAGTCAAGCTGTGTTTTGTTTTGTTCAGCATAGTCAGAAGTAAAGACAGCTGGAGTTTGAATTTGTTCAGCAATGATAATGAATGCATGAAGCATCCTAAAAGGCGGCTTTCCCCCTTGCCACTGTACTGGCCTCATTAGCAGTTGTAGTCTTGCACAATTTCTCAGTTGGCTGGGTGTAAAGTGCCTTTGGAGGAAGACACAGTGGTCCCATCCATGCTGGGGTTTATTAGATAATTTAAAACTGATCTCAGGCCTAGTCAGTTCAGGACATATTTGTGCCATCATTGCTAACCTAAAGTGGTAAGAAAACATGGTGTAATAGACTGTAGTGGCAGGTGATGCAGAACCGTCTTCACAGCCTTGGTGAATAAATTGTTCCCAAAACTCCTGGTGACATGGCCATAATTGCCACTTAAGCCTCACCCTGTTTCTCTACAGCCCGGGTTGGAGTTGCCGTAGGAGACAATGGGATGTGTTGCTAAAGGAAGGGCTCCAGCTTTGAACTGAGTCACTGGTATGTTAATTACTTACATGAGGATAGCACAGGATTTGGATCACATAGTGACAAGCACTGATTTACAAGAGGAAAGGGTGGCGCTAAGCCAGCCCACACAGCAAATGAAGAGAGCTGGAATGAAGCCCTGGTCCTGCATTGCAGATTGATGCTTCTCAGTATTCTTGGCCAGGCAGTGAGAAGAGGGTAAAATCTGGATTATCCTGTTTAAACCAGAATCCTGTGTTTATCCTTAACTAATCACTGCTCACAGGTACCTCATGAGAGGAAATCAACATCAGCAAAATGATTTGTGGTCTTCAGACGCAGGGTTACTGCAGACATGTGAAGTAGAAGGATTCATGAGACGCTGGAAATAATTAAAGAAAAAACATTTTTGGGTAGAGATTAAGGACCAGTGATTCTTGGTGTCGTTTTTATCCCATATGGTACCGAAATTATTTTCCCTTATGAGATGCATGTTTACTCCTCAAAGAATGGAATTAATTTAATTTTAAGTCACCTAGATAAAAACTAGAAGTTTACTCTCCACCTGATCTTTGGGACCTCTAAAATATCACTGGAAACAGAAAACCATTCAGAGGGTAGTTCATTCATTCACTCTACATTAGACACTCATGTTGTGATCCAGAGCTGCCTATTTCTCTCTGTCAAAGAGAGGGCCCAGACAGCTGACTTATGCTAGACATCTAGCTTTTAGATGGGTACAGACAGATAAAGGGGATTTCAGCCAAAAAGAGTAATTTTGATGTACCAGAAGTGCCAAACCTTCCTGTAAAACAAATTGTAGCAGAGGGCTTGTATCCCAGCCACTAGATGAAGGTTAGATGTTTGCCATCATGTCTCAGTGTTGCTAACTTGTGCAGACAACATCAGAAGGTTGGTCATTAATGCCTTTTGAATGAACAGTTTGAATCCAATTCAGAATATCTCCTTACAACAATTTTAACCATCTGACATATCTTTGTTATAATATTTTTAACTCTCTCTACTCCCACAAAATAAGGTACTTGTATTTGAACACTTCTATTCACCCAAGTAAGAGAGCAGTGTCAGCTTTGCAGGTAAGAAAAGGATGTGTTCCTTAAGGTGGTCACTGGTGGACGAGTCTCATGAACACCTTTGTATGCCCATGGCCTGTGCAATGGGTGACAGTGGCTGAAATTCTGGGCCCCCTATGAAATCAGCTAGCAATTTACCCTAGCAAATTCAATTTGCAGAATTTTGCGAGAGCCCTCTTTCAGTGTTGAGAATAGTTCTGTCTTGGCTTGGTATTTTTTAGGATAACCCCATTCATTAGAAAGGAGGAACAAAAGTTAACAGAGGCGAGAGTGTGCTGTAATTGACTGTGATTTAAGAAACACTGCATTGCCAGAGGCAGTTACTGGAAGATATATAGAAATCTAACAGCATTATCAGAACAAAGCCAATGGTTTTGTTCAGGTTCCCATGAACAATGATGTTTCGCAAACATAAGGTGCAGTTTGTTATCCTCAATTTCTTCTTATCTTTTTGTTTGTTTGTTTGTTTTGTGTGTGTGTGTGTGCTTGTTTTTGTCTCATCTTCTTCTTAGGCTTGGAAATATCATGGGATGGAGACAGTTTTGTGGAAGTCATGGCTGCACCACATCTGAAAGGCAGACTCTGTGGTCTGTGTGGCAATTACAACGGGCACAAGCGAGATGACCTGATTGGGGGGGATGGGACTTTTAAGTTTGATGTGGACGACTTTGCCGAGTCTTGGCGCGTGGAGTCCAATGAGTTCTGCAGCCGCCCGCAGAGAAAACCTGTACCTGAGCTCTGTCATGGGACAGTCAGGGTGAAACTCCGAGCTCACCGGGAATGCCAGAAGCTCAAAGCATGGGAGTTTCAGAGCTGTCATTCAACAGTGGATTATACCACTTTTTACCGGTAAGTGTGGCTCGCTTTGGAGGGAGATACGAAGTTACTGTGTGAGGAGAAAAACCACACAGTTGGCCCAATTTCAGCGGCATTTGAACACATGCATTGAACTGCTTTTGCTAAAAATTAATATACAGGCTTAGATTTATATTATGGGGAAGTTTTATGAGGCTGGAATCAGAAGAAGAGGGTCCTGAGCTAATAGACCCAAGCAGCCAATACTGAGAAAGACAGGCAGAGTTGTGATCATCTAGAGAAAAAGTACTTTTGGAGACTGAGAAAAGAGGGGGAAGAGACTTCAGAACAGTTTTATAAACTGTGATTTTGAAGTCAGTTGTGAAATTGAGACTGACTTTAATTGCTGTTGCTTGTGGTCCAGAGAAGTGTGACCCTGAGTTTAGTTCAGTTGGTTGGAGCATGGTGCTAAAACCACCAAGTTCATGAGTTCAATCCCTGTTTGGGCTATTTGCTTTAAGAGTTGGACTCGATGATCCTTGTGGGTCCCTTCTAACTCAGAATATTCTGTGTCTTCCCAGAAATATTTTGAAAATTCCTATATTAAAGCAGGAATATTAGATATGACTAGTGCCTCTTGGGTGGTGTAGTTTTTGGGTTGGAAGTTTGAAAGGAGAGAGTTAACAAAAAGTTCCTTGCATGCCATCCCGCCCTGGAAGAAAAGAAAGACAGACGAGCATCTAGAAGCCTTGTCTGAGTGAATTATTTAAGATTTTTTATCTTTAAAATGCTTCCAGTCTAAACCACAAAGACATATTTTCTGTACTTCAGTTGGTATGAGTTTATTTACCCCTCACTTAGTAAATAAAATTGACTTTTCTTTTGATTGCCTGACATAAAAGATAAAAGCAAGCCGAGTCCCAGTTGTATGATGGCGGATGGAGCTGCCTGATCTCTGTGCTCCCAGCTTTCCCCACATGGACACATCTGCTAAACTATTAGACTTACTAGGGAAAGCTTTCTAAAATGACTTGATTTCCCTTAAGAATTGCCTTTCCTCTTCTTTTATAATGAGACAGAATGACTTTTATCTACTCTAGCAGAATACGCCTGGGACTGGGAAATGCTAGAATAAGCACTACAGCTTGGCTTGTAGTCTATGTGCCTGTGCATTTGTTTTGCTATAGTGTATTCCTGTGCTAGGTAGGAGCCTGGCAAAGAGTAAAAATTATATCGTGTGCAGATTATAATACTTTATCTTTTCCAATGGCTGGAGACACAATACAGAGCACTAGAGAAGCTAACACACACACAGGTTCTGTTGAATGCATTTCAGCAATATTCCCATCTCACTTCCACCGTCTTTTAAAGGTAAGTGATGACAATGCAAATGGAAAACAGGCCCAGAGAGATTTGTTTAATTTTGCAGTGGATTTTGTGTCCCTTTTTAAAAGTAGCTCATGATTAATTTAGTGCAATACACTTCCTGACACCACAGCAGAAAATGATTTATATTTTGGCTACAGCAACCAGAAAAAAAAATTTCTACATGCTTGCAGACAAGAATTACTGTAGAGCTTTTCTGTTCCTTTAAAATTATGTCTAATGTTTGTCCTGGAAAGGCAATGAAATCAAACAAGTATTTAATTTGATTATGTTCTTTTCTAGAAAAGTATGTTTTTTCCTAAGGAAACTTTATGTTGAAACGACCATCATATTCTGTCAAAAGGAGCTATTCATGTTTCCGTTTAGATGTTGCTAACTGTTAGAATGCTCAGCTCCCACCACAGGAATAAAAGATCATAATGTATAGTTAAATAATAGTATGTAGTAGAACGCTACTGCTTTTTAGAAACTGATAAAGTTGTAGCAAGCAATGTAGTCAATGACCATCATAATTTTTCATACTAGAAAGTTTCTTCAAGGAGGTAATGATTATGGGACACACATTCAAGAAAGTTCTGGAAACCTTTCTATCATTAATCTTTGCAGATATAAGTATGTATGTGTGTGTAAGTAAGTTTAAATACAAGTGTTTCAGAGATTTGCTTTTTTCATTGATTTTTATTCAAAAAACTCATTACTGGTGATGTACTTTTGCAAAAAAATTAAATTGGCATTAAAAGAAATTTAAATTAGCACAGCTTTTTTTTCTGAGGTCTTTTGGAAAAGCATATTTAGTCAATGTTCTCTAATTTCAGGCTAGGTTTAAATAGAATTTTTCAAATTCTGCTTTTCTAACTCTAAACAAGCTCCTAACAGTAAGAAAAGTGAGGAGGAAGAAGGATAGGGTCAGATTCTTGCATTTTCTATTCATCTTGTCATTTGAACTGAATAGCTTCTCACTTTTTACCCTCCAACATTATGTATTATGGAATTTTTCCATTTGAAAAACTGCATTCTCGAGGGTTAACCTTTCTTGGTCATTTTTGCCTATATTATCAACCTTGCTTCATTTTCATTATGCTCCTCGGGTGGTGACCTGCTGTTAATTAAAATTCTCAGAAATAGAAATAAACTCAGCAGGAACATTACAAATTAGGGTGTGTTTTCTCCAAAGACCGAAAAAGGCAGTGAACAATGCATTGCAAACATTCGTCTGACATTGTGTTACTGAGGAGATTTCTGTGAAGATGTTGTTAAATTCATTTTAAGTCTTGTTCTTTTTACAGCTCTAGTTTCTCCTTTTGTTAGCCATCCTAAAAACCATACATCATGATTGTCATGATTGTTAAGTGAATAGGATATAGTTCATGTTTTAAAGAGTAGAGGCCTCGCTGTGTGTTGACTCCTGAGCTTGACCTTGGGAGATGTCTGCTGCCTTAGGTTGTGCCCTTAATCCTTTTTTTTTGGTGTTGTGACTTTGGTGATTTGCGTTTCCTTGCAAAGCACGTGGTAGAAGAAAGCACAATGTAAGTGTGCAAGAAAGAATATTGAAATAATCCTGACTGCAAATGAACAATTTTAGCATCTAATTTTATACCACTCTTTTAATTTTTTGTTTTGTAACTAGACACATTTTATGCGATTTTAATTGTGGTTTGCTTTGTTTAGTTTTGGGCTGGTATTTTTTGTTTGTCTTTAATGCAGTGCTAATTGCTCAGTACTCATGAGTAATACTCTAAAAATAACCCTTAGGGTTCAACTTTTTGGAGGCAAGTTCATTAAGCAGGGAAACAATTTTGAATTTCCAGGACATTTTGGTAAAGCCTGTGGGAAGAACTGATTAGCAGTTAGCATCATTACCATTGCCCATTGTCTATTTTGGTATTTCAATATGGTTAAGCATCCTGGATTGGTCCTTGCAAAAAGAAAAATAAAATAAAACCATGTATGCAATTAAGCTTGCACTCCTAAAGCTGCTCTTGAGTATAAGCAGCAATAAAAATAGGTGATACTATCTCAATATCTCCTGCTGCTGTAACCAGAAAAAGCTCTATCACATTCTTGGGAAATACTGTGGTACCATTTAAGCCCTTGGATGAGGATTTGGGGAGCTTAGGGGACTTGAGGAAGCAGAAGAGGACTTTCTGTGCTCACTGAGCCCTACTCCATGGCTGATCTCATTGTGTATCTTTGAACGGGGCTGGGCAGGGGCCTGGAGGTCACTCCAGCCCCGTGAGGCTGTGTGGAGCGGTTCCCCAGTGTACCCCCACGCCTGCTTTGCTTTGCCGTGACTGACACCTCTCAGGAGCCTCCTTGGGAGGCACAGGAGCAGGTGGCCCCTAACGGGTGTGGGGACTACAGTGAGAGGGGCACTGCACTGCTGCTTTGTTCAGGGATGTGTTGGCCTGCAGGAGACACTGTAGGGGAAGACACAGGACTAATACTCCTAGAACACCTGCCCTCATTAGCATCTGTGGTTTTCTAGTAGGTTGTTGGGTTTTCTTTAAAGCTGAAATCAACAGATTTGGAACATGACATCAACACGATGTCGGTATATCACCTGTCTCTAACACAACTACACAGCAGCTGAGTTCATAAATGACTAGTTAGACAGCACTCAAGACTCTCACTACTTCCATAACTTCAGAAAAAATTTCAGTGTCTTGCTTTTGCTATGCAGTAGATTGTTTCAGATTGAAAAATCTGTGTGCCTCATACTTAAGTATTTTTATTGTTATTACTCTTCCTGTTATTATTATATATTTTTATTGATGTTATTATTGTTAATATTGCATTTTTAACAGACAATAGCATGCAAAATAGTTAATTACTCTTTTTCTCTTTTGTAATTGTCCTAAGAGATCTATTTTTCTCTCAAACACCTGAATTTAATCCTATTCAATATTTTATGGCAAGGATTAATTAACATAGTAATAGGATAATTTGTTTGAATCTGTTAATCGCATGCATTCAAGAACTGCAAATCTACTTTATTACAATTCTCATCCTAAATGTTGCTTGAGATGTGATGGCATTACTCCATCTATAGCTTTTGGTTAATCAGTTAATGAGTTCCTGTTTCAGTTAGCCAAGTAACTTTATGCAGGTAGCTGCCGAAGTCTTGCATGTTTTTTAAAATTTCTACTTAACTAGATAAAATATTACTGCTTAAACTTAGAGCATAAATTGCAATGTTGTGTAGTTTGTTGGTTCTCTGTTATTAAGTTTGGCAGTTAGGCCATAAATGGCTGCAGAGAGCATGCAAGCCATTGCATTGCTGAGTTAATTACAAACTCTGTTTAAAAGGTTGGGACCAAGGGTTTGTGGCTTTTAAGCAGAAGGTTTGAAGATTTTTTTTCCTGTTGACAATGATGTCCTACAGCTGTAAAATTCATGTGGTTATGCCCCTATGTTCACTCAGCAGGACGGTACAGAAGAAGTGTAGGCTGAAGAATGACTTCAGAAAATCCTGATTCAAGTGTTTAAGGGGTGGGTGGAACTGGCATCTCTGGAACCCTCAGTTTATTGCCAAGGGTGCATATTACAAAATTGTCCCCGAGAGATTTTCTGGTCCTGGCTGTGCATCTGAGCAGAGCAGTTGCCTGTGCTGCTCCTGCGGAGGCCAAGCTGCTTCAGGGCTCCTCTGCCATGTAAATGGATGGCAGCTG